AGAACCACTGCTCTAGACCCTCATGGATACAAGAACCACTGCTCTAGACCCTCATGGATACAAACACTGAGTTAGAACCACTGCTCTAGACTCTCATGGGTACAAACACTCAGTTGCTTCTGTCAGTTTTACTTTAGTTTTCCAAACACACAGATGGAAATTGATTCTGCCACCCCAAAACCATTTTCTATCATCAGGCAGATGACAGACTTCTGATTACTCTGCTGTATTGAGCACAGGAAAGCACAGGAGGACTGTATAACAGCTAACTACCGAGATCCAGCATGACTTCCTAGTGTCTGTCCAGATCTCTCCTGATGTGTTCAGTTTTCAGAGAAAAGCCTCCAATAAGTGTGTTCTATCACTACCAGGCAAGGGGGGCTTAAAGAAGGATTCATTTAAACATAAAGGCTAAAATAGTGTAAAAACTGTATCGTGGGCAGTGACATCTCAAGGACTGCATCTTAAAGCTGTCTAAGGGATTCTGAGCCCTCGTCCTGCTTCAGTTGTGACGGCTATTGCTGATCTGTTTCAGGTGTGTTGAAGAGACTGGAGTGGCTCTTGGAGCTGATGGGTTATATGAGAACCCTTGCCTACCAGCCAGCATCTGTTCAGAGTGTGGCTCTTGATGAGGTACATCGAGAAGCGGTGGGCTTACCTGAAAATGTAAAATGTACCATTTCTTTCCCAGAAGAAGACTCCATGGCCGTCTTTACTGCTGTAACAAATGCCCGAGGTCATCGGCTCACAAAGTGAAAACATTCGTTTGGTTTGCACTTTGGGAGTTCTAGCCCAGGATCCACTGATCCCACAGCTTTGGACCTGTGCTGAAGTGACAGGTCATGGAAGGAGTATGTTGCTGAGCCAGATCTAAGACCCATAGTTCTTTTTGGATCAACCTCTCCTGTCCATACCCCCCCCCAAAAAAAAATCTCCCCCTAGCTACTACCTTCTGTAAGGTCTACGGCTTTCCAGTAGTGTCACTCTGGGGACTGCGCCTGGAAGCCATGGCCCTTGGGGTGATCCGAGATCCAAAAGCAAACACACTCTCACAGTGTTTCTTCTTTTTATTGTGAGAAATACTGGCAATGACTCTTGCTGTGGTTCCGGAGATTCGCAGGACTGTCTTTTGAGGATTTTCCCCCTCAAGACAGGGTTTCACTGTGTAGCCCTGGATGTCCTGGAACTCACTCTGTAGACTAGCCTGGCCCTGAACTCAGAGATCCACCAGCCTCTGTCTCTGAAGTGATGAGTCTAAAGGCATGCACCACCACCATACCCTGGCAAGAAATACTTTTAACAAAACATGTTCTTTGATGCACAGGACTCCAAGAACATTAGGTAGAGAGCGAACCTTGGGTCCTCATACAGAATGTGTGGAAATGTCAGGCTCAGGCCTCTTCTCTGGCTCACATGTAACTAAAAATGCCTAGAAGGAAGAGATTCCTGAAGTGTGTGCAGATCACATGTGTGCCAACACCTGCATGTGACACGTGGAGAGGGTTCTCGTCATATCTGCACTGTGACTTATAATATCCCCAAGGAAAAGGCCTCTTGTAATGGGTAGTTGTAAAAACACCCAATAATACAAACACAGTTCTTGCCTACTTTTTTTTTCTTAATTTTCTTCATAGGCATTCTTCCTGGTTGAGTATAATTTTCATAGCCTGATACATTCTTTGAAATCCTGTACCATTTGTCTGAAGAGTTGTGTGTCTTTTTGCAGTTATTAATTTTTTTGTTTGTTTTGCTTGAGACGGGGTTTCTCTGTGTAGCCCTAGCTCTCCTGGAACTCTCTTTGTAGACCAGGCTGACCTCGAAACTCATAGAAATCTGTCTGCCTCTGCCTCCCAAGTGCTGAGATTAAAGGCATGTGCCACCTGAAGTTGTTAAATTTTTAATTCATCACTTAGGATCTTAAGAGACTGAAAAATACTTTTTTAAAAACCTTTTTCAACTAATGCAATCTCTTTTTTTTTTCTGACTTCCTGAGCTTTTATTAACTTTGTTTTCTTACCAAAATCCCAAATCACTTAGCATGCAAATTAGCTGGAAAAAGTATAATTGAAATCACAGTAATTCAGCATCTTGATAGTGTCTCCATTACCATGTCTAAAATCTTTTACAAGTATCTAATGGAGTCTGAAGGATGGCTGGATTCCAGACAGAATTTTTTTTATGCCTAAAGATAAACTTTTTATTGTTCAAAAATAAAATCAGATGTTTCATATTTTTAAAAATCAGTTTTGTCCATATAACAAATACCTTTCTTAGTTTATCTCTTTAAAATGCCAGCAAAAGAAGAGTATTTAGATCTTGATATGATTAAGAATAAATTTTATTTCTCTTGAAATATTGGAGGAATAATCCAGCCTCACAGAAGGGAGAATCAGGAACCTTCTCAAGCGCAGTGGTGGCCAGGCTCCTCAGTCAGCCTGGAACTGAGTTTGCCCTTCATATAGTTCCTCTTCTGGGGCAGCAGGAGTGGGAAGAGGCGGGAAGACGGCCTTGCATCATGGTGGAGGCTGTGCTTGTGAACTTGTGCCACTTTTAATAGAACCTATGATCTCATGCTGCTTCTACTTTCTTAACAGGCTTTGGACTTCTTGCTGCTGATATTTGCAGCTGCAGTGGTGGCGTGGGCAGACCATGAGGCCCCACTTCTCCTTGGCCTCAGTGCCAGTTGGTTGCCATGGCATCGGGAGAACGGGTCTGGTGGGCCAGCAGCAGCCTTGCTTGGCAAGAGTCCTATGCATAGAGTCACCGTGCAAGAGGTTCTCACTCTCCTTCCCAGTAGCATGCTATTGCTGCTACAGAAAGAGCCATGGAAAGAACAGACCCAGAAGGTGAGGGGTGGCAGCCACCTGTTTAGCAGGGCAGGCAACCTTTTGTCTCCAGCAGTTGCTGCTGTGGGATGGAAGTGGGAATTAAACGAAGATTGGCTCACACCAAAGGCTTTCATACTCAGCCCCGAGCATCGCTCTTATGCCATGTCCTGGAGGTTGAGGCCCGCCCAGGTGCATGGTATCTATTGTCTGGAAACAGCACTGACAGCAGCAGCAGCTCATTTATGGTGAGGGTGCAGCAGAGATAAAGCTTGTATCTTCGTTCACTTATCGAGGGCACATGTGCTCTTGATCCTGGGTGGAAGGGATACATTTTACCAAGTCAGGACACGTAGGCAGACAAACTCAAGATTCGGGATGGTATGCTGTGTGGGATATGAGGTGAGAAGTAAGAGAGGGACATGGGCTCATGTCCAGGGGTGGCTCAGAGAATGTTCCAGAAGAAGTGTAGGTCTAGAGTCTTACTGTAACACAGTAAAGGGTCCACCTGGCTTACTCTATCCCACAGAGCCACTATGTGTACCTGGAGTGGCTGGCCTGTTCTAGTGCTTGAGCAGGGTTCTGTTACAGCCGCAAACCATCACCCCTGACCTCAGGAAAGCCCATGTCATAGGAGGCTCTTTGGGGTTAGTCCTCAAGCGTGCAAACTTAGCAAAACACATGGAAATATTGTCTCCTCTACTTGGCTTTATCCGGCTCCATCCTGTCTTTAATATAGCCGATTGGAAGATTCTTCTTTGAATCCCATGTCATCAAAACTGGATTTGTATGATGTTGAAAGCTTTAAACTAATAATGTGTTGCTTTTTCTTGAGGTATGAAGATTAATCCTTAAAAACATTCTGAGCCGTGAACCCGGCTTAGCTACACCTAACTCCACTGACCATCTCAGCTGAAGGGCCTTTCCCAATTAAGTCAGATAAGGATTAGGAGGCCGTAGCAAGCTTTGCATTTTCTGTTCAGCTTTTAACCCAAATAAATGTAGTCTCTTCTGTTATTTCCAGACTGAGACACTGTTCACTTTGGATATGGGATTGACATCTTAAATTGATTATATATTTGTAGTGACTATTAATCTACTAGTAAGTTATTAAACACTCAGGAAGGAAAATTTATGAGCCTATTATCCTTGACCAGAATGCATATGGAACCAGTGAGAGGTAGCGTGATACAGAGAAAATAGCCTTGCAGCCAGGTATAGCTAGGCTCAAATATTGACCCTGCTGTTCAGAGGGATGTGACTTGGGCAAGGTCACTGACCTCTCTGAGCCTCTCAGGGTGACTAGAGACAATGATAAACTAAAGTCTTCCAGGCCCATGTCCAGCTTACTCTGTCTGCACTAGGTCTTCGTGTATTCACTAGGGGAAGTGGGTTAGACTTCGTAAGGCCTTTTGATTTGGGAGTCATGTCACCTCTGCAACCCTCCACCCTTTAATGTTCTTCTAACACCCACCTCACTTCGACTTCTCCAGCCTCAGCAGGAATTGCTAAAAGGCTGTTGCCCTTCTCCTGTATGCAGGCCCAAGAGACTGGCTGAGCTCATGCTGATGGTGGGATTTACTTCACTGACAATGTTCTTTTTCACCCTAGTTCATTGACTGGCTATTTAGTGTCATGGAAATTCCTAATGAAGCCTTTGCAGCAAAGTCCAAGGATCTTTTGAAAGGTATTACTTCATGCTTTATGCCTAACAGGGGGTAAAACCACCCATTGGTGGCTGTGATGTGGAAGAGCAGAATTGGACACATGGTTTCAAAAAGTGTCCCTAATGTGGCATTGCAAATCAGAAAAATGGATTAAAAAGGAGGACCAGTGCCTTTAAACTTCACTTTTAGAGAAATAGTATTAGGTATTTTATTATAATAGTAAAATAATTAAAATTTGCAAAATTATGAAAAGTAAAAATACCGCAAACAGAAATTCAAACAGAGTTCTGGAGACAGTTTTGATGGTTTCCCTAAGTTTTTCTCCATCCTGTGTATGAGGACTCTTTTAGCATATTTGTAATGTGAAGCTACTGGAAAAGTACACATAGACAGCTCTGATTTCACATGTTTTATGTTTTAACATTATTTTAAATCCTAGAACACATTCTCATACTAGCTTCCAGTAATAGTTGATGCTGCTGAGTTGATATTTTGCCATGGGAACTAGTCATTGCCCATGCTATCAAGCACTTCCAGAGTTTTTGTGGTTTCATACTTCTCCATGGACTGGCACACTGTGACTGTAGGAAACCCCAAATGTGGAAGATCTTCCTGAAAGTTTTGTAGAGTCTTAAACTCAGATATGATGTTTGTGTGATTTGGCCCTTGGCCTCATGACTTGAAATAGCTTGTACTTGTCATGCATGTCCTGGGACTCAGGGTTCTGAAGCCAGTGGCTACTGCAGTGTCCTTTGCATGTCATAAGACATTGATTGCACTGAGAACTGCCATTCTACAGGCCAGCCCTGTGATGATTTATCTATCTTGGAGTCATAGTATGATACATGTTTTACTTTAAAGAAGGTGTAATATTTTTGTTACTAAACAGCCAAGAATTCTGGTGAATGAGAAGCATGTAGATGCCTGAATGTGATTCTAATACAGCACAGAGCTTCACTGGGAATCAGGGCTGTGATTAAGATATTTTCACTTTATCCATTTCTAGGGACTTGCTGATAAGACTCTATTTGTGTGCTGCAGGGAGTTTGGGCTGGTGATTGTTTCAAACATGTGCTATCTTCAGTTCCAAAGCTAACAACTGATATCAATAAAGAAAACAATCACTTGGCTTAAGGAATCACACCTTTACTAGATTACAGTGTCATTGGCTTCCTAGAATGACCTGGGCTCCCTACATTCCTTCACATTCTTTTATTTGACATAATATCTGAATATATTCATATTTTAGACTAAGACAAGAAATATGTAATAGTTACTAAAAGATATTATTTAGAATTTCTAAAAGATATTATTCAGAATTTCTCTACTTTAAATTTCTCCTTGGGTCATATATCACAGTAGGAAATACATGCATTACAGACACATGTCCAAATAAAATTTAGTGTGGTACACTTGCATCCTTGAGCACAAGAACTCAGCCTTATTATAGGTGTGGAGTTTTCTCTTTAATTAAGCATTTAATGGAGTTAATCATGTTCATGTATAAAAGAACACAAATTTAAAGTAAATTATTACAGAGGGAATATACTCATGTAAATAGTAATGGCATTAAGAAAAACAGTATCACTAGCATGTCAAACATCATAGTTCTGCAAATTTTCCTATTTACAGATTTATAGGATAACTTTCAAAAAAGAAAAAAAAAACACCAACTACTTTTGCAACCTGTAAAACCTGTGGGGGTTTTCTTTGGGGGGCGGGGCTGCTGTTGAAATTCTAAATTCTGCTAAGATGTGGGAATCATGAGTTTTGAAGACTAGTCAAGTAGGGAAGTGCCAAGCTCTGTTTTGACTCCTTTTTGATCAAAATGACCTTTTCAGCACAGCTCTGTCAAGTGCATCTGTATGCTCTGTGTTCTTGTCCTCTTAGCCACCCTGCTGTCCTTGAGAGTTCTCCCAGAGTTTAAGAAGAAAGCTGTATGGACCAGAGCGTATGGCTGGTGACATTCTCAGGAACCAGCAGCATCCCCCGCTGAATGAGGCAGACCAGAAAAACAGAAGTTTTCCATGACTGGTGTCTGAGATTGCTGAGAATTGATCCTCCCAGTTAGTGGTCATGGGAAGGTGGCTCCATACTGACATCTCAACTTGTGTGTGGCCAGGAAAGGGGTACATTACTTGGGTACCCGGGTATTTGAAACTGAAATAAGAACATGCCTTCTTTATGTCCTGAGTTCATTGTAAAAAATTTTCTTTTCTTTGTGAAAACTGAATTATATTTTCTCTCCTTTAAATTCTAGTAAAATAATCTTGTGAAGTTTGTGCAATGTGACTTTTATTTTTAAGTGTGTGGGGAGATATTGCCAGTGAAAGCAAACTGTAGAGGTGACAAGGGTATGATGAAGCCACAGAAGAAGTCAGTGAGTTAGACAAATTTTATTCCTGTTGATAAAACACAAGAGAACTGCTAGGCACATTCAGATTGTGAGGCGTGACACTGACTGGTACCCAGGTTAGGTTCATCAGCGATAGTTATAATTCCTGTGCTTGGATGTCATGAGTGCAAGAAAAAGTTATCCGATTCACAGTCGCCGCAAAGGAGACTTAATTCACATCAATGTTGATCTGATGGATCCCATGATGCTGTGATCTGTTCCTCTGGAGACTGTGCCTCCTACTTGGCAAGGTGTCTGCCAGCAACCTCAAAGGTAAAGAAAGGTTCTTTTCCCCACAGGCATGAGAGAAGCAGCACTGGGAGGACCCCAGAAACCATGTGGGTCTCTGAACAGTATCTGGTCCTTGGCAGGTGGGATACACTCGGTGACCAGGCCTAAGTCACAGAGGAGGCAGCCCCAAGCAAACTCTCTGAACTGAGTTTCCCCAGGAGAAAGATGATAGGATGCTAGACAAGCAAAAAAGGATCAATATCTCCTCCATAGATCAGTTTTTTTTTTTATAAGTACAGCTCATTTTACCAGAATGATTCGTGGCCTAACGGTTTGTGATAGTATCACAATTTCAGCTACTGCCATGATGAGAGACTCGGGCAGCATTTTAACTTTGATGCTCACTAATTATCATGACTTCAACTGGGGCTCAGTCATATAAATGTACAAACAGGGAATCATTAGGAAGAAAAGCCGTGATACTGATGTCAGGTGCTTTTTGTATCTGCCACACAGACAGTGCCTGGTGCTTCACAAACACCATAGAACTTCTACTGCTAACAGGGGGCACTTATCTTCTTGTCCCAAAGTGTACCTGGCAAGTTCATAGCAACACTACTAATTGTATTTTCCAGATATATAATTTCTTTACAAGTTGGACTACAAGGAAATAAGTTTCAGCCAAGCGAGAAAGAGGTGGTAGCAATTTACAGCAGCTTTTTTTTTTCATCCTCTGTGTGCTATTGTATACTCCCTACCATCTAGAAACTGAAAGTCATCTAGCATTTGCTGTTGGGTGCCAGACCATGAGTACACTAGACTTTTCATTTGACTTAGCTTGTTTGAAGTCTTGAACAGTACTGTAGGGGGCATTGTTTTCTATTTTAAAATGGAACAAAAATATTTAATAAGTGGGAGAGTTTTACCTGAAACTAAGGTCCTAGAGCCTAAGATCCAAAGCCTTTTCTACTGCATCAGACACCTTGGCTCCCACTCTAACGTGCAGATCTGCTAAGAGAAGCACCAGGCCTTTGGCACTGGGAAGCTTGGGACTAGTGTAGCAAACCAAGTTTGTCTGCATGCATTAAAGAGCTCTAGATTCCAGAGTACCTTGGAAATACAGGAGACAATGAGCCCTGAAGAGGAAGTGGGCACTGGAGACATCATGAATCAGCAACTAAACATTTGCTGATGCCCAAGGAAAGGGAGAATCTGCCTAGACTTCAGATTTCAGATTTCCCATGGCTTTTCAACCTAATTTCTTCTCAAACCTGGTATTTCCTCCTGTCCTTCACGAGAAAACAGAAGCTTACAAAAAGAAGGAAATAAAGTAATCCTCAGCCCTCTTAACTAGTTCTTTCTGCTTTGAGCAGTCATGGATGGAAGTCATGTGGTTTTCTGCTGATTGGACCTCTAAGGATTCCAAATTAGTGACTCTAAAAAGTAAACTCAAAGGTATACCAGTGAAATAATAACCTGCCCCTGGTTAGCTGTATGACCCCCATATAAGAGTTACATTGTTCCACCAAGATACTCCGCTCTCCCCACTTTTACACAAGCAAGCTGCTGCTGCTTTTTTAGACCATGTTTTGAACTACATAAGGAAGTCTTTATTTCAAGTCCTCTCTTGTCAGATCTTGAAAACACAAGTTGCCAAGACAAATAGTATTTGGGGATGCACCCGGGTAGGGTTAAAGCTACATTGTGCCTTAAGGAAGTATCCAAACACAGATTGGATTTGAAAAGTATGCATTTGGCAAAGATGTGGGTATCTGTGCAATTATCTAAAATCATGTTACAGTAATAATGTAATAACTCCATGGTAACCAAGGGGCTGCAGAAAACATCTTATGATGAATTACTAGATGTTAACTTCCTTTGGAATGGAAGTATTTGGAGGTGGGCTTTGGGAAGTAAGTAGGGGTGCAGAGGGAGCTTTTCTGAAAATTAGTGAGTTCACAAGAAGGGACTTGGGAGAAGTGCTTTCTTTCTCTACCATGTGGGCACACAGCAAGGAGGTATCCCTCTGTATCTCACACTCAAGAATCAACTGTCACTTGCTATCTTGGTATTGAGCTTTTTGATTTACAGAATCACTCAATTTAATAGTACTTTGTTGCAGCAATCCAAACTAAGAGAGCAGTGGATAGCAAGAGGTGAGGCACCACTGTACTCAGAACGTAAATGTGGAGAAGCAGCTTTGAAGTTAAGTAGAAGATGGAAGAGTTTTAAGATGCTGATATCATCTTTTAGGGTTTGATAAAAGTGATTGTGGTCAGAGCTGAGGAAGAAAGGACATCTGGAGTGGAAGCCTTGTTTTCTTAGAGAACTCATCATCATACAAATTAGGGCTGATAAGTTGCCCCTATGTGACTTAGGGGCACCTTTGATTCACCCTTCCCTGGTCTTAGAAAATAATATATATGTGTACATATATGTGTGTGTGTGTGTATGTATATACATATACACATATACATATACATACACACACACATATATATATACACACACACACACACACACACACGTGTGTGTGTGTGTGTGTGTGTGTGTGTGTGTGTGTGTGTGTGTCTCCAAAGAGCTCAAGGGGCCATTCTGTCAAGTTCTAAGAAGTCCAACTGTCTTCCTATCTCTATTAACTACAGCTCAGAATAACAGTGTTCCTGCTAGAGTAGCTGATCAGATCTACAGTTCACATCTACCCTAACTAACCTTACTGAATTGGCTAGCATCTTGCTTTTGGACATCCAAGCCTCCAGAACTGTAAAACATAGATTTCTATAGTTTTGCAACCAAGTCCTATGGGAGGGGATTGCACTTTGTGATATAGCAGTGGCCTGAGCTAAGTCACAGAAGATGTTTGATAGGCATCTAAATATATGTAATGTTCAAGGTGATTGGCTCCAAGGGCAGGGGCATTTGTCTGCAGAGTATCTAAGTAGATGTAATGTTCAAGGTGATTGGTTCTAAGGGTGGGGGCATTTGTCAATAGAGTATGTTATCCTAGAATTAAAGAGGATACTTGACAGCATTCCTGTCCTATAAATCTGCTAGTTGTTATTACAGAAGTTCATCAGTTGGTTTCTCGAGTCTATTGAACTTACTCCACTGAATCTATTTCTCATTTACTTTACACGAAAACATTCAGACTTCACGCAGTATAAATGTAACCTGTGTGAAGTCCCACAGCCTTGGTGTAGCAAAGGTGTGCTGTGCCTGTTGAAGATTTGTTCATACAGCACAGTAGATGTGGAACAGAATGTGCAGGGCCTGCAATAATCCATGTAATAGATTGTTGTTAAGTTCTCTGTTCTTTGACTCTAGCATACACAGTGTTGTGTTGGCTGCAGGCTGACCCACCAGCCCATCTTCTCTTTTGTGCGATGGGCAGGGATGCTGCCTCACATTTTCTTCGGTTTGGCAGAAATGACTCTGAGGACATCTTTTCTTTCTGTGTAAAGATGGCTGTAGGTGAAATACATACCTACGGTGCAAAGGAAAGTGAGGTTGGTTAACCATGTCTTTGAAAAGATCTGTGGTTTGAGGACCCAGGGAGAGGGCCGCCTGAGTTGTAGGAGCAGCAGCTGTAAGGGATGCTCAAGCAAAGCACACGAGGAACTGTGCAGCTTTTACATGGAAAGGGAATGCAAGCACACGCTTCTGTCCGACTCACTCTGCCCCTCCCGTCCCCCACCTCGGCAGCTTTCTTCACAACCCCTAAACTGTCGTCTTCTTTATTCGGATGCGCTATTCTTACACTTGGGAACTGTTCTCTCTCAGACACGGTTATGATCCTGATAATTTGTGAAGGGTAGAGTAAATAATAGAAGTCTTTTTCCCAGTTCCCTGGAAAACAATGTTACTTGATTAAGTTTGTTCAAATATAACTTTCTACTAGCCCACACTACATTTGATTAAATTACTTTTAAATAGCTTTGCTCTTTGGTTGCCGATTTCCTATATGCGTTGCTGTACATATTAACGGGTTCAGTGTGGTTCTTTCCACACGTGCGTGTGGCATGCACAGGTCAAATCTCACCTCCCTTCTGCCACTCTTCCAGCCCCTCAGGACCACAATTCAATTTTCGTGTCAGTTTTTACATTTTCACATGTAAGAGAGAACATTCTGGCTTGCTTCACATGCCCCCCATTTCCATTCACGGCCCTGGGATAACAGGAGTTACTCTTAATGGAGAAATGCCCCGTGGTGTGATCGTGCACCGTATTTCCTCTGCCCATCCATGTTGACAAACTCCTGGGCTGGCTCCTGATCTTTCTGTTGTAAACAGTGCCACAGTCATCACGGGTATGCCTTCCCTTCCATCGCCTGCTAACTTCACTTCCTTTTGTCCTCTCTGGGGCAGCTGGATCAGATGGTAGTTCTATTTTTACCTTTTTTGCGGAACTTGCACACTGCTGCAGTAGTGTTCCCAACAACAGTAGTTTCTTTTTCTCCACGTGCTCACTACCATTTGTTTGTGTTGTTGTTTGATTGATAACAGCCAGTCTGACTGGACTGAAATGGTAGCTCATTGACTGTGTGTCCCTGATGGTTAGTAAAATGAAATGTGTTTTTCAGAGTAATTAATGGTTTAAACGCATCCAAGTCTGTTCAGATCACAAACCCATTTTCTAATTGTCTGACTTACTTCATATAAATGTTTGGAGGTCTCTGTGTCTCCTGAGTACTTGGCAACTCTTCTCTGCCCCTCTGCAGGTGGTCCCTTTGCTCTATCATTTGCCTTGCTGGGGAGAAGCTTACTAATTTAATGTCATCTCGTTAATCTCATTAATTCTTCCTTGTGTTTCCTGAGCTATTGACATCTTATTCAAGAAATTATCATTTGCACCATATCTTGAAGTCTTTTAGTGGTACTTTTAGAGTTTTGGGTCTTAAATTCAAGCATTTGATAGTTTGAGTTGATTTCTGTGCAGGGTAAGGGTCCGGGTCGTGTGTCAGTCTTCTGCATGTGGATATCTTGTTCTCCCAACACCCTGTGTTTCTTTCATGTATAGTTATTGTTGGCATGTTTATTTCTTTTTCTTTTTTTATTGGCCTTTTATGCCATTGCCGTACTGCTTGCTACTGATCCTTGTGTCTTGACATTGGCTGTTGTGATGCCTCCAGCTTTGTTCATTCTGCTTTAGGGTCTTTGGGGCTTACATACTAATTGTATGGGTTTGGTTGTTCTGGGAAGCGTGTTATTTATCGTTTTATTCTTTTTTAAATTATTTTCTTAAGAGCTTATGTGTGAGTAGGTGTTTATGGTACTTGCACATGTGTGTGCTGGTGTGTATACCATGTGTGCAAATGTGTGACCAGAGGAAGCTCTCGGCTATATCACTCCCTGCCTTGTTCCTCTGAGACAGGGTCTCTCACTGAACCTGGAGCTGGGCCAGCAGCCAGCAAGTCCCAGCAGTTCTCCTGCTCCTACTTCCAACAACCCCAGAGGTGTAGGTGGAGGGCCACACCCAGCTTTTTGGTGGATGCTGGGGATTCAAATTCAGGTCCACATGCTCATATAGCACAGCTCTTACCCACTGAGTGATGCTCTCAGTCCTCAAAATGTTAACAGTTTAGTTGGAGATTGCACGGAATCCCCACATCACTTTGAGCAATATGAACATTTAATGACTTCTGCCATGAAAATAGGCAGTCTTCCCATCTTTTAGTAGCTTCAATTTCTCTCCCAGTGTTTTGTAGCTTTTTTGTAGAGGAATTGTACTTCCTAGGTTGTTCATAGGTATGTTTTGTGGTTATTGTGGTTTAGATTTCGTTCTTAAATTCTTCCTTAGCAAATCATTATGTGTGGAAGGGCTTATTTAGAAACAAAAACTAGAAGCATAAAGTCCTAAGTAGACAGCGTTGTTCTGAATGGACTTTGAGTCAGGGAAGGCTGTGGAGTGTGTATGTCCAGCTTAGGTGCTGCCCACACGAAAAACATTTTGCTGGTTCTGTCCTGCTACTCAATCTGTGTCTCTCTCCTAGTAGTTCTGGTGAAGTCCTTAGTTGTCCCCCCACCCAACACGCCCTGTTATTTTTTGTTGGCTTTGCTTTGTTTTTAAGACAAGGTCCCACTCTTGTTCAGGCTGGCCTCAAACTGACAACTTCCTGAGATTTCAGGTGTGAGCCACCATCCCCAGTGGTAACATTTTTCTATGCATCTGCAACAACACAGACAATTGGACTCCCTTCCTATGAATCTGCCTTTCCTTCTTCTTGTCTGATTGCTCTGACTAAAATGAATAGGACACTGAGAAAGAGCAAGGAGAGTGGACAGCTTGTCTTATTCCTGACAATAGAGGAAATAGTTTGTTTTTTAGCATTCAGTATATTAGTTATGGGTTTGTCATGCATACCTTGTTCTTGTATTTTATCATGAATTGATGTTGAACTTTATCAAATGATTTTTCTACTCTACTCAGATAACTTTTGATATCTATGGTAGTTTATTGATTTATAGAGGCTGCACCATTTTTGCATCTAGGAATGAAGCCTATCTAATTATAGTGTATGATCTTTCTACATACTTACTAGTATTTTGTTGAGTTCAGCATCTATGTTAATTGGGACTGTTGGTCTATAGCTCCTTTTCATTTACTATTAAATTTTGGTAGTGCTGGCCCAAATGATTGCCCATTAATTTGAGAAGAATTGGTACTAGTTACTCCTGGTGAAATCTTGGTAAAATTTAATTGTGAAGCCATTTTATGCTGGCTTTCTGCATTGGGTGATTTATTACTAGTTTATTACTCATTACTAGCATATCCAGGTTTTTCTATATCCTGTTAAATTTCTCTATCCTTTTGGTTGAATTTTGGTAGGTCTTTTGTATCCAGAAATGTTTCCATTTTCCAATTTGTTAATGGGTAGGTTTTTTTTTTAATATCCCCAACTGATATTCTGCATTTCTGTACTGTGGGTTGTAATGTCTCCTTTAACATTTCTAACTTCATTTCTTTGGCTCTTCTATTTTGGGTGGTTATTATAACTGAGAAGTTTATCCACTTTTTTTTTTTGTCCTTTCAAGGAAATAACTAGTTTTATTTTATTGACCCTTGGTACTTCTTATTTTCTGTTGACTTCTGGTCAGATTTTTATTTCTCTCCATACAGTTATTTGGGATTTGGTTTATAATTGCTTTTCTTAGTCCTTGATATGCATGGTTAAGTTGTTTATCTGAAATACTTCCATTTTTTATGTTTTTTACACGTTGTTCTTGGTATTGTTTTTGATATATCCCACAGGTTTGGGATCCTGTATTTCTATTGGTTTCAACAAATTTTTCTTTTGGATTTCCTCAGTGGCCTTCTGAGGAGAAAGGGAAAGCAGGTGTGGCCAGCACCTAAGTTTCTTTGTGGTCCTCCTTGGGCCATGTGCCCTGTCAACCAGAGCACTAGCTGAAGCCTTAGCATTGCTCACGGCTGCTGCAGTTTACCCCTGGGGTCAGAGAAGCATTAGGACCACAGAAGTCTTGTCTTACCCTGTAAGTGGCAGGTGCTCTTGCTTGTATGTGTGGGGAGGGATGGTTGGTCCCAGCACTGCTAAGATTCTACACTCTACTGACCACACCCTGCTCTCAGAGGGCAAGCTGTCTAATCCCCTGTATTCAACACGGCTTGCTGGGACTCTCTTCATTCCCCCTCACTCAGAAGAGGATTCCTCCCCGCCTAGTAGTGTAGATAGCATGGCAAGCTCTCAGGTTTTTGTGTCTACTGCTATGCTAGGTTTGTTTTTGTTTTTTTTTTTTTTTCAATATTACAGTGTTCTAGTTTCTCCCCATAATTTCTTGCACTCTCCCAGAATGCAGCTCCATACCTATTGCTTGTGTTTTCTTTGTGGAGCAAAGTACTGATGGCTGTACTCAGCCATCTTGAAATCCCACACAAGTATAACTTTGTGTATGTGTTTGTTTTGTTTGTGAGACAGCATCTCTCTCTGTGGCCCTGCCTGGCCTGGAGCTCACTCTGTAGACCAGGCTGACCTCCAACTCACAGAGATCTACTTGCCTCTGCCTCCCAAGTGCTGAGATTAAAGGCGTGTGTCGCTAAGCCTGGCTCAAGTGTACGTTTTATGTGTGTGTAAGTGTTTTATCTGCATGTATATATGTGCACCACATACATGCCTGCTGCCAGAAGAGAGGGTCTGGGTCTCCTGGAACTGAAATTATGGATGGTTCTGAGCTGCCGCGTGGAAGCTGGAAACTGAACCCAGGTCGTCTGGAAGAGCAGCAAGTGCTCTTAAGCTCAGAGCCATCCCTCCGCTCCCTCCCCACAACTGTAAGTTTTTGTGCTCGGTTTTCTTTGAGCCTTTATCACCGACTTTCTGTTCGCCTCCTAGGGAGCACTAGCATGTAAAGCCAAACAGAAAACAAAATGGGCATACATGAAAAAAAAAATAAAAATCGATAACCCTTCTGTTGGGCATTGGGTTTTACAGATTATGTCTTTGTGATCAAAAAATGTCTGTGTCTCATGCATCTTGCAAGCAAATTCTCTGCTAGTAGCATTGTTGTTGCTGTAACAGTGAAATTTTGTTAATACTTGATTTCACCATCCCCCCCCCCAAAAAAAAGCATCAAGGGTCTTAATCAGACTATCTAGTTCATTTTGTGTGGGGGGGCTTCCTTTTTAGTTCTCTCCACACTTACCAATCTGTTTAGGACAATGGCAGCATAAACCACCAGAAGAATGCGAAAACAAACTATCTACTTACCTATGAAGAGCACCAGGAGATACAGCTTGAGCACGTAAGGGAAACAGGTAGATATGTCCAACGGCAGCATGGTAGAGTTGGCGCCAAATGATTCGAAATAAGGCAGTGACTGATAGATGGTAAACGCTGTTTAAAGATAGAAGGATGGCAAAGGTTCTTTCTGAGTCACAGAGGTGAGTGTGCACAGATATCTTTAAGGAAGGAGATTTGTGAATCGGCATCATAGATGGTAAATGCTGTTTAAAGATAGAAGGATGGCAAAGATTCCCTTTCTGAGTTACAGAGGTGAGTGTGCACGTGTATCTTTAATGAAGGAGATTTTTAAATTGGCAACAACAGCTTTGTGATGATTGCTGAATCCTTTAGTGAAAGCTGCAACTTGATATAGGAATCTATGGAATGATTATGTTGCTTAAATTGTTCCAGCATTCTGACTCAGTAAATTATTGCCCACTGTGTACCTGCTGTTGAACCCACACATTTCATGCTTACATAGAAAGACTGTATAGCGCTTCTTAAAATGATGGCTTTAAAAGTACATCTGTCTCCTTGCTCACAAACGGGGAGACAATCAGGTATGGAAAGTGCTACATCTATTTTCCTCTTGGAGTTACATGACACGTGTTTAGCAGTGAAGACTCTGAGAGGTTCTGCAATAATGAAACCTCCCACCATGACTGGCCTTAGAATGTCTTCTTTCTCCTCTGCCCTGAAAGTACTTAGTACAAATCTGGAGCAACTCTGTGAGAAATGCTGACCTAAATTATTCTGTGGGAAGAGGCTAGTTTAGTGTTAGATGCATATAGAGGATCCATGAAACTAGATCACATGTGTACATTTTAAAAATAACATTCCTGCAGTAAAATGGCTTTTATGGTTATCTAAGCTGCTGCCATCTGGGGAAGGGAAGTAAATGTACTTAGATTTTTTACTTTATGTGTATCAGAGTTTTGCCTGCATGTATGCAAGTACATTACATGCATGCAGTACCTGTGGAAGCCAAAAGAGGGTGGTGGATCCTCTGGGACTAGAGACAGTTGTGAGCTACCATGTGGGTGCCAAGAACTGAACCCACATCCTCTAGAAGATCAGCCACTGTTCTTAACTGCTGAGCTTAACTCCAGCACTGTGATGCACTATTTTTACAGTTTCCTGTTAGTCTGAAGTTGTTTCAAAATCAAAAGGGGTTGCGATGTGATCAAGTCAGGAGCTGAAGCAGATGGATAAGAGATGAGTGGCCTTGGTGCGGGACTGCCAATGGATACCAAACATGCCATTAAGATTAACCAGGGTTGCCGGGCGGTGGTGGCGCACGCCTTTAATCCCAGCACTCGGGAGGCAGAGTCAGGCGGATCTCTGTGAGTTCGAGGCCAGCCTGGGCTACCAAGTGAGTTCCAGGAAAGGCGCAAAGCTACACAGAGAAACCCTGTCTCGAAAAACCAAAAAAAGATTAACCAGGGTTGCCTCCAAGTCTCAAGCATTCTGACAGATGAGTGATAGCTTGGGTATTTATATGAGCTTTATTTACTCATTGAATTTATCAGACATAAAAATTACAGCTTTAAAATTAAATACGAGTTATTAACTTTATTAAAAGTTAAGTAGGTTTCCTTCCCTGTCTAGTTTTATACTCTGGAACATTTGACACATGCAAAGGAAAGATCACAGGCACCTTCTCCACTGTCTGGAGTTAGTTACCATTAACACTGTGTCATGTATGTGCCTTGATTGTCTTCTGCTGATACTTTGGGGAGAGCAAGCTCACAGTCTAGGGAAAGAGAGGGCGTTGTGTGGCATTCATATCAAAACAGGCTTCCCTCAGAAGGCTTAAAATTCTGAACACCAAGAATAGAAACGTTTCTTGTATACTTATTCATCCTTATTTTTAGGGAAAGAGTCCATTATATAGTCTTTAGAAAAAAACTTACTTTGCAAGTATAGTTTTAATTAAAAAGTCATAATGTATGTATTTATGGATTATGGTGTGATATTTTGATATATGTGTACAATGTGGAATGATGAAAGCTCGTATTCAACATCTCATTTTTGTAGTGAGATAACTAAATTTACTCTTTTGAAATGTATGCTGTTATTGGCTATACTCACGTTGCTGTACATATCTTACAATTATATTTCTCTTGATATAAACCTCTTACCCTTTCCAACATCCAGTCCTTTTATGTTCTTTATAGTATTTCTATGTTCCAAGACAAATAAAGGCACTTAGCAAATATTCCATGAACGAGGACTTTCATTCTTAAAGAATGGGTGACTGAGTTTTCTGCTGTTTTTTTCAGTGGTTTGTAAATTATTATTCTCTAGATTCTCTGAGTATTCCAAATTTTAACAATTAATTTTAAAAATAAAAGAAAAATTAAAATTCTCATTTATTATCTCTAGTCATTGGTAAATAGAAAACATGTGGTTTTCTTTTATATACTAGTCTTTATATACTCATGATTATTATTGACAACAGCTCTCTCTTTATAATGTCTTTGTTTTCCTGTAGTTACTTTAACATGCATTTTGCATTATTTAAAATCTTTAATCTTGACTTTCAGAAGAAACTCCCTGAAGCCTGTCCAATCCACTACTGGGGGAACGTTTGTTCTTTGCTTAACCTCAAGTTCTTTGAAAACTGCTTATTTCAGTTATTTAATTTTGCCTTATTAATATAGCCAGTAGTTGATCTCCTGATGGGCATGTATACCAGTGCATATGAGAAGGGAAAGAAACAAAAGGCCAGGCTGAGTCCTGTGTGTGCACATGGAACTAGGCCAGTGAGGGACATGGACATGCAACCAAGAATCATACAAATGTCTAGTTGCACCTGAGATGTACCCTATAAAATGATAATCCGTGGTGCTGTACTGGGGAACTACCTTAATTGAAAAGTCAGACGCCTCACTCTGAAAGTGGAGACTCTTGTGAGGATGGTCAAAAGGTCACTGGCAGAAGTAGGGTGTTTAGAAGGTGGTGAGAAGCACTCTAGCCAGAGATGACCAAATTTCTAAGTATTAAAAAAAAAAATTAAAGCCGGGCGTTGGTGGCGCACGCCTTTAATCCCAGCACTCGGGAGGCAGAGGCAGGCGGATCTCTGTGAGTTCGAGGCCAGCCTCGTCTACCAA